GTTTTTAAATTTACGTAACCTTTAACCTTACGCGAAAAAATTTGAATATTAATGAAAATTTTGCAATAATATAATTTTTAAATGTCAAAAGTTTAAACGTAATAATAATAATAATATATAAAAGAAAATTTTTATCATTATGTGCACATAAAATCGTCGGTTTTATTATTTTAGTTTTTTAGTTTTTTAGTTTTTTTTTACAAGGGAAAAAATGTCAAAGGTCTAGGTAAGTAAATGGAAAAAAAAGTTTTCTGGAGCTGGAATTCCCGGGTCAAAATGTAAAAAGTCACCGTAAAAATTTTTTTGCAAAAAAAAAAAAAGCGGAGGGAAAAAAAACTCAACCCCTGGTTTGTGAGCTAATTTTTTTTTTATAAAAATGAAAAAAATGACGTCATAAAAAAAAATTCTGCTTATTGTAGTTAAAAAAAAAAAAAAAAAATTAATTTTTTCAATTCGGAAAATTAAACCGGAAAATTTTTATCATCCTATTTCAGATGATTTTGGAAAATTCGTATAAAATTTTTATAATTCATTCCAGAGAACAATCGTTTAAAAAATTGAATTTAAATGTTTTTTAATGATTATTATTATTATCGAACGGAAATTTACTTGTAGGGGGGAGGGGAGGGGGAAGAGGGGGGTATTTTTTAAACGAGTTAACAAAACGAAAATTTTTTCCAATATCGATCCAGGGTTTTTTTTTTTTTTTTTCTCGAAACATTAAAAACTTTTAACATAAAATTTTTCAAAAGCTCTTAACCCAGATTCGATATTGAAAAAAAAACAAAAAAAAAGAAAATTTAAATTGTGACTTACCACGTTTTGATACGATTCAAATAAATGATTTTCCACCGTGGATGAATTTTCACAGGATGAAAATTTTCCTGGGGGTGGATGCAAGTAAAGCGCATGACTTTATTTTATTTTAAATGAAAATTTTTGAGTTGGGTTTCGGTTCGGTTACTGATCGGAGGCCGAAAACACCTTTAAAAAAAAAATATATTAATAATAATAATAATAATTAATTTGTTTAATTCGCTCATAGGTCAAATTTAAAAAAAAAAAAAAAATTTTTTTTGTTGGAAGAATTTAAATAATAATAATAATAATAATAAAAAACGAGGTTAGTCAAAAATCGTGTTTAAAAAAAATCAATAATTTAATTTATTAATTATTGATTTATTAATTAATTTACGAATTGAGTTAATGAAAAAATTTGACTCATTATTGGAAAATTATTTTATAAAATCTTTTTTTTATCATCAAAAGCGGGCTTTTCACAGAACGTTTTCATAGTGACGTCAATAAAAGAAAATCGTTAATCGGCAAGACATATAATAATTATTTTTATTTATATCAATTATATAATATAAAACGAGTAAAAATCATCATATAAATATATCGTACGAACGTTTTATTAACTCAAACTCACACGTGTATTAATAATAAATAAAATCTTCTAGAATTTTCCATCAAGCGGTGAGAATTTTGATAATTTTTTTTCTTTTTTGTGTTTTGTAATAGCTTATCGTAGGTACTTTAGTTATGAGTAATGAATGAAACGTAAAATGCATTCGTAATATAAATATATTTTAATAATTTTTTATTTATTGCATAGATACATAAAAATTTATTAAAAGTTTAAAGTAGGACCCGCTCGTGGCATTAACAACCTATTAAAAAAATCATTCGATTTTATTACTTATTATTACGATAATTGATTCGAATTCATAAGAACAAAAATCAATAATAAATCAATTTATCGATTTTCAATTATTACTTAATCAAATTTAATTTTACGTAATATGACGGGTACCAAACAAATGCATTATTAATTTTTCACGGTACTCATTAAAATTTAACAACGGTACCGGGGAAAAAAAAAAAAATTAATTAATTTTTATTAGCAATTAATTAATTAATTTCGATGCGTAATTAAAATTAATTAAAACAACGTTTTATCGTATCGTTAATTGTTTACATATAATTTATTACCTGTTAATATCATTAAATCGATTAATCGATCGATTTTCAATAATTTTTTTTTTTGATTGTAAACAATACAACACACGATTTCGCTCAATCCATTACTTTTTTTTTTTTTTTTTTGTACGGTAGCCCTTTATGAAAAAATCAAATTAGGCGATTAGTATTAATCATAGTTTTCCTTAGTTAAAATCAATCATTTATAGGGAAAAAAAAAAAAGTCGGTATCAATAATGAAAAAAATCATCATTCATATTCGTCATTTTGTTTTTATTAGTTGTTCGCAACAATAGACAAGATTTAAATTCGGTGTCGTCAAAAGAATAATCATGAACAGTGTTTTGCCGTGGCTTGTAAATACCTGGACCGCTTTTGAAGACGAATATCGAAAAAGTAAGAAACTAATAAATAATTTTTTTTTTTTTTTTTTTTTTTAAATACGGTAGAAAAAATTTTCTATATCATCGCATATATGCGTTAACATGCATGTAAGGCAAAATTTTTTCATAACGCCAAAATACATTAACACCTTTCTAATTACACGACAAAATGATTCTACGCCTTTTTTTTTTTTTTTTTTTTTTGGAAAAACGACAAACGATCAACGTAAAAATAC